TACTCCATCATAGAAGGCCACTAGGTTGGTCAGGCGGGACTTGCCCTTGGTGAAGCTGTGCTGGCTGTCTCGAATCACCTCCCTGTCCTCCATGTGCCTTAGCCTAGCTTCTAGGGAAGATCGTGGAACAGATCCTCCGGGCACAGAGGCGAGGCTGACAGGTCAGTAGTTTCCAGGATCCTCCTTTTGACCCTTTTTAAAAATGGGTGCAATATTTCCCTTTTTCCAGGCCCCAGGGACTTCACCTGACTGCCATGACTTGTCAAATATCATGGAGAGTGGCTTCAGCCAATTCCCTCAGGACTCTGGGATGCATCTCATCGGGACCCATACACTTATGTAGGTTCAGGTTCCTCAGGTGCATATAAATGCACTTTGCTTATTTTCATCTGTTATACAAGGAGTAATTCCACCAGCTCCAGTAACTACATGAGGGAAGAATCGGGCTTGCAAAACTGAGCTTTCCCCATCTACTCTGCTCCCGATAAGCTGCTACATCTGCGCCAGCAAATTAGCATTGCAGTCAGCTCACCAGCAGCTCCTGGCAGCTTCCACGCTGTGGGACTTCAGCGTCTTCTGCTTCCTGCATTCTTCCCCTTTAACTGCGTATTTGCTGTTTATGTACAGACATTTTCTAAGGAACTGCAAGAAAGTTTAGGAGGCTTAACTATGTCTGGTTTCAGTCATTGTATTTATTCTGCCTACTAAGAATCATTTTCTATTTTGCAAACTAATTTTTAATCTTCCCATGGCCAATATTTGAATTCCACGGTACATTTCAGGGACTGCACCAGTGTTCCTAATCCCTGACCCAGCTGTGAGCCGCTAGTGCCACCTGGAGTTTAATAGCTATACATAAAGCATGCCGAATCCCAAAGATGCATGCAAACATTTTAGCACACAGCCTGCAAGAGTATACATCCAGCAGCACCAATCTCTGTGCAACATCTTTGCACAGTGGATTTCATTTCCAAAGTCTGGAAACTTAAAAAACTCACAGTGAGCCAGGCTGAGATGAACAGAAGAGCTCAGAGCTGCAGGCACTGGAAACCTCAGTCCAAGACTGGACAGCAAAAGCCACCAAGTACTTTTAAAAACCTAATCTCAAACAAGTTTGGTAAGCACTTGAAAAAGCCCCGTCTTCAATATTTTTTCTGAAGTCAGCCTCCTGATTGCCCATACACACTGAAAAACCTAGATCAAAGCATATCTTTGTATCAATCACTAAGTCAAAGCAGGAAAACAAGCAGTTACTGAAGCAGCCCATACTGTTTCAGATACAAGCTGCCTCCTAATACCACTTGCCTTTGGATACAAGTGAAATAGAGGTATCCTAGACACCCTGCTGCTAAACTGTAGGCTCGCTTAACCAGTAAAGACAGAACAATTCAACTGGACTGCAGCAAAACTGTACCTGTGGAAGCAGAGACGCAACAGAATAATTTATACAATGTCAGTGGGGTCAGTCTTTAGGTATCATTAATCCATTCCCATTGTGGCGCCTACCACGAAAAGCACAGTTGTATTTCATAGCGCTACAGTAGGAAAGAACAAAGCAAAGAGCATGTTGGAAATACAGGGTATGAGCAGCTGAAGAAATCCAGGTCCCTGGAATCTCCTAAGCAAACAATCAGCTCTTCAGGGTTTTGAGTTTGTTTTTTCTGTGTTTTATTCCTGCACATTTAAGAGAAGCACAAAGGTGACCTAAAGCACTGCTAAATACAACTGTAACTTGATAGGGATAATTAAACTGGCTGTCACTGTGAGACATCATGTTTGACCTCCAAATATTTCAAGAAGTTAGCTGCAGTAAAACCATGATTCCCCCAAATGCCAGCCTTTGCTTTCATATTCGGCATGACAATTTGTTTGGCTTTCAGTCTGACCATCACTATCAATAAAATGTTTGGCAAATCAAAGAGCAGTGAAGACTAACGATGGTTAACAACGCGAATGGAGCACAGGTCTTTGCGCTATTGCTGTACTGACTTCGTAGCAGCAGGAAAATGTAAAAGATAGTCAATATCTTTGTACCTGCAAAGTAAGCACGGCTGATACAGGGGACACTGAAGGAACCCTTGTGGATTCATATTGGGTTTTTTACAGTCACCTTTCCTATTAAAACAGCAGCTTGAGACTAAAGCTAAAGGAGGATTTAAATGCACTTCCTGAAAAGTCAGAGAAGGGCCCAATGATCAGGAGCTCTGGAAAGGCAAACTTCACCATGTACAAAATCCTCCTGGTAGCCAGTCCAAGCAAAAAACTGTCAGCCCAGCAAAAAAAAGCAGGAATTGTTTTGAGAACCTACAAGCAACTGCAGAAAGCAAATGAGAACACATTAGGCTGTATCTACTAATCACCACAGGAAACATCAATATGAAAAGTTCGTTTCTATTTTCAGTTTATTTCACAACATCTACCTAAACAGATGAAATTACTGAAGCATTAACACAGCAAAATGAACCAATGCAAATATAACACAGAGCCAAATACTGTCAGCCTCTCCCCAGCTATATTTGTTACTTGGAGGCACTAAATCGTTTGTGCTGTATTTGTTTTTTTATGCAAGCCTGAACACTGATGGAAAGGGAGTCAGCATTTTCTCACAACATAAGATTGGCTATGACTTTAAAAAACAACTATTACACAGTATCTTTTATAAACGTATCTGCAACCAGGCAACTACAAGAGCTAACACCTATACAACCCAATAGGCGAGGCTATATTTAGCTGAAATTCAAGGCCAGTGCTAAAATAAAACCATTGTTTAAGCAATATTCAGTTTACCTACAGGAAGGTAAATTTGTCTGAAGGTGAATCAAAACAAAAAGAGCTAGCGTTACCCGTAGTCTGAAGGGATGCTGTTCAAAGGTAAACTTCTGTTATGCAACTACAATTCAAAGGCACAGCTTTCTCCTGAATCACTCGTACTGGTTTTTCCTCCTCTTGGGCTAATTACGCCCTCAGGGATAATCTTGAAAAGACACTGAACCTACACCCAAAGCAACCAGTTGTTGCTAAATAAATGGGATTATCTTTTGACTACATTGCACTTATTATTTTGGGAGGAATAGTGCTGAGGGAAGGAGGGAGTTGTTTTGTTTTTATAGCCATATAAGCCTGTCTTGGTGTGTTATTTGCAGACAAAAAAAAAATGTTATGACATGAAAAAAAGAAAGGCAGCTTCTCGTCTTCACTGTTGAGTGACCATTAAAGAATTACGTGAGTAGCAGAGGAAAGGGTGGGAGGGTTGTGCCAGCGAGAGGCAGTTTTAACTGTAAGGATACAGACACAACAGTCTGAAGTCTTTGAAACTGCAGATTTAAATCAGTAGATCCTACTAGTAGATCCAATGCTGGCACTACCCCGAATGTCGAAGGAAGGAATACCTACTTATCTGGATAATGAATTCCTGTCCCTGGAACATCACAAGGAAATCCAAGTTCTCTAGGGAGCTTGCCTTTGTGTCAAAAAAAAAAAAAAAATCATGGTAGGAAGGTGACCTTCCCCCCAGCACTGTTTTCATTTTCCAAATGACCACTTTTTATATACCATTAGAAAGGCACTGTTTCATTCATCCCCCAAACCAATACAGACTGGGTCTGAAAGTGAGCCAGTGTGAAATGCTCCCGCGACTACCACAGCACAACACAGAGCCCTGCACCACAAAAAAGCCAGGGCAGCGTGCTGAAAACCACCCGCTACTCCCCTCTCAGAAGTCAGTACCCCAGGCAGTCTGCCCAGCCCTTCTAGGGTTCCTGTGTCCCAAAGCAAACCCTGAGATGCCAGGGGGATTTGGGGCACCCTTCTATGGAGTCAGTGGTCCCTTTAAGCTCTCAAAACGGGGGACTTGCAGCAGACAAGCGTGCTCACCTCCCTGCTGCCCATTTCTAGACAGCCACGTCTCCAGCAGCCCACTCCCCCAGTCACTGCCACTCCTTGCTAAGCCTTTGCGTTATTCCTTCAGACTACAAATTTAAAGAATAGCTCTTTTTTTTTTTTATAGCTGTGCTAAAGTAATGAAAAAAAACCAACAACGAAACACATCAGATACTTGATGGGTAGAACGCAACACCAGTCCCCTACAAAGCTCGTGCTGAAGAATGGCTGAGATTCTGGGGAGCAAAGGTGTTGGGATCCCACAGCTGCTGGACTCACACAGAACGTGGTTAAAACTTCAGAGCCCAGCTCCACAGTGAGGTGCCTCCACTGCAATAACCACAAGTGCCTTCTCAGAAGCATCAGGAGAGATACAATCAACTTAGCAGGCAAGAAAACTGAACACACTCTTATCCTAAGAGATAAAACAAATGAGGCTAAACTCCCTTTCGTCTCCAACTGAGCAGCATTGGGGAGCTGACATCACCCTTCTCCTGGCTCTGCCACTCGGAACTCGGGCTTCTGAACTGCAGGGTTGTCAGTCTGGCTCTTCTCATGCTTGCCCTTTGTTTTAAAAAAAGGCATTAAGTTCATTAAAACTGTTCTCTACAGCTCATAGAAGAACTACTGATCTAATCATCTAGTGGATTGTTACAGTGTGAACTACATCCTTTTCTGGAAATAGAATTTCAGTAACAAAATCAGAGTTTGAATCTGAAATAAAAGCAGGGGACTAAGATGCAAAACAGATGTAAAGGTGATCTTTAAATCTTCTTTGAGAAACCTACTCTCTGGGAGCTAGAGGCATGGGGGACTATCATCTTCTCTCTCAAGCTGCCTTAGCAGAGACATTAAACCCTGCAAACTCCGATAGGCTCTCCACACATTATAGCGTGCATCACGCTGAGACGCGGTACCCAGCTTTGGCTTCTTCCTCTGCAACACTGAGGTACAAACAGCCCCTGCCTCATCTCCGTCCTGCCTCTGGTTAGAGCCTACCATGACCGAGGGTCCAGAGCAGTACCTTTAACATTAAGAATACCATCTTTCACTTGCTCTGTTAAAGGCTACCACCGAGACATCAAAGCCTGGTCTGCCGTCTGGTCTTCGCAGAACCTCACCTTGTTTTGTGAGTGCTTCTCTCAGAGCCGGGGTTATCATCTCTCTCTTTCCACCCTCCTCTTTCCTCCCAGTGCTCTCTTGAGTCAAGCTCGTTCCAACACCTCCTTCCTCGAGCTCATGTTCTCTCTGTTTAAAGACAGTGAATTGCAACCGTTTAGATTCAAGCATCACATTTTAAACACTGTGGCACAGTTCAGCCACAGACCCGCTAAAGTTAAAACTGACACATGAATTCTTGCATTCGTTTAATCCTGCATTCTATCCCTCTTCTAATTAGACGCTGATGGTTCAGTGATTTAGGACAGTAAATTAAAAAAAAACACAACACACGAGATTTGTTCTACTAACGCAGCAATAAAATTCTCTAGGACATTTTAAGAAACAAGGTATTTGAATATCATTTGAGAGTGAGAGGGACCCCAGGATTTAAACCCAAGTGTTTTACGATTGTACAATAATCTCATCTCTCCGCAGAAGGCAAACCGGAGGGAACAAACCATTTTGTGCCTGACACTCAATTGCCTGGAGGGACAGGCAGCTATTGTCCCTACTATTTGGGGCAGGTCAGGGAAGAAAGCCACATCGCTACAAGGAGTTAGCCCAGGAGTTTACAGAGTAGAAGCTGTGCTCTCCACAAGTCACCTAAGGCGGCAGCCATGTGCACCACCAGAATTCAGCGATCACCCAAGGCCCTGCAATAAAAGGCTGCTCCCCACTGCCCCGGAGGCAACTCCAGACACATGAGCTGCAGCATCCCACCTAAGCCTGGCTTCCAGCAGATGCTGCTTTATAGACACAGTTAAGCCCTTGGAGCTTACTTAAAACCAAACGCAGGACTATCACATATTAGCCTAAAGTTACAAGCAGGAGAAGCAAACCCCAGCACACACGAAATTGCGAATCCCCCGCTGTGTAGGTGTCACTGCTGAGACTTTATGGGTATTTATTGCTTCACGTCTGCACAAGGAAGCATGAACTTGTAAATAATTACTTTGATATTTTGTGCAACTTGTAATCTGTCAGTCCTTTATGGCTTTTTTGAAATATTAAAGGAGTTATGGATAAACAACAAACAAAAGCCAACAGAGGACATTTTGTTTTCACAAAATTGAGGCTATTTCACTTCCAAGCCTCTTTTGTGCCAAAGACATCAAGAAGTTCATACAAACGCTGCCAGTCTGAGTCTACCCACCGTTACCATCACTAAGGAAACCAGCGCTCTTGACTTGCCAAACTGTTCTTCACAGGGAAAGTAACGTAACCATTCCTAGACACACAGACAGGTTTCTTTTGTACTGAGCAACATTTCAGAAAATAAAGGTGTCTTAGAAGAAAAAAAAAAAAATTAGTTTTAAAAACCCACACAGACTCAAAGGTTCAAGGACAAAACAGAGTTCCTAATAAGCATTTCAGAAGGGAACAGGAAAGTAAAGCATTTAGGGACAGAGGTCATTACCTTTCCTACTCATTTTGAGTAAAACTTGGCTCACAGTTTCAGGGAGGTTGTGCAGGAAGGTATTTTCTAATGACCACTAACACAACGTGGTCCTTACTGAAGGGGAAAGCTGTTTCCATCGTCTACTTCCTTTCACTTGGTTTGCCGAGTTTTTAGGCAGGATTTCATTGGTTTCTATAACACTTCAAAACTTCCCTGAAAGGCTAGCTCTATGAAGTACTTGTTGGGTTTAAAAGCTCATTTCTTGAGGCTTGATCTTCATTTATCAGCAAGACACTTCAACAGTAAAATATTAATATTACTGGAAAAGCCTCATGCATAAGGAAGGAAGGAGATAAAAGGAGCTAAAATCTTCATCTTTTAACTATTAAGTCTTAAATAAAGAGCTTCTCCTCCCACAAGCTATCATTTAACCCAGAACTAGGGCCAGCCGTCCACTTCAAACTGGAAAGGCACTATCTTAGTACAGATTTGTTAGCTACTTAAAGCAAAATGCTACACAGGATTTACGAGTGGACACATCCTGGCCTATCTGCTCTACAATCTCACGCCAGGTTAATTCTCCCAGAAGTCAGTATGCGTTATGGAGCACATCGTAATTAAAAATGCAGCAATTAACTTAAGTACAAATGAGACATCCCACCCAAGACAGCCTTCAGCTACAGAAAAAGTCCTGCTGAATTTAACGGGTTTGCATTTCTACCTGTCTGTTGTGCCCGTTACTGCAATATCTGAGAAAAAGCACCTAAACATAAGAATAAGAAATAAAATTGCCTTACTGGCAGAGCAGAAACATTTATTTCAATAATCATTTTTCCCCTCACAGAGAGGATAATATTTTTTCCCTCCTCATCCTGATGTGGAAGCCTGTAAACAAAATAATCATTTGTTTTTCTCTGAACTGCAATACCTGACTTGTTCGGTTTGGCAAGTGATTGGCTTCAGATATTTCTTCTGGGAAATGGAATTCACAGCCCTGGGAGTTTTACTTATTTACTTAATAAACCTTTCATATTTATTATTTAGAGTTTGAGTGGAGTGAACAAAGTTAACTTTGCACAGAGCAAACTTCTCAAGTTCTGGTGATTTAGCAGAAAGCCCTGTGGTAAATCTAAGGCGAATTACTGTCTTTCCAATAACAAATCAAGCAAGTAGTGACAAGAGCCAGCTTTTCATGCCCTTGAAATACTTCACCGCGGAAAAACTGAAGAGTCATCCTCTGGTCTGTGTTCACAAACAAGAGAACTCACAGATCACAGGAATACACTCCAATTTCTTGGTACCGCAAGGCTCAGCACAGCTCTTGCTGCAGCCTGCTGGAGGTTTGGGGTTTTTTTTGCTACTGCCATTGAAGCAGACCTGAACAAAAGCAATTGAACCTCACGTGTAAGGACTCAGGATCACCTCCTCTACAGGTGAAGGCAAAAAAACCCTCTCTTCCCTTTTACTGCCATACAGGCAGCACAACAGACACAAGCAGCACACACTTTACGGGCAGGCAGGGGAAGCCCATTTTTGATGGGTCAAGAGCAGAGGGCATCAGACTCGTGCACGAACCTCAGCATTCCCTGCCACGGCAGAGGCGTTGCCGCCCCTTTGACAAGTCACAGTCAAGTGTTTCAAATGATTTTCCGCAAATATGCCTACAAAATTCATCCACAGCCACATTCAGCTATGGTCAGACTGTCCAACAGGCCATGCTGCTGCCACTTCTCCTCTCTGAAGCACTCTCTCCCTGTTTTCTGGTTTATTACATCAAATGCTTTTCAAGCTAAGATTGCGGGGGCAAGACAAAAAAAGAAGAGAGGCAGGTTCAGCGTAACAACTTCCATGCAAAAAAGTATTCCCTAAACTACCTTAATTTAGCATGCTTAGCCTCATGGCTCTATTTATTGATATGCCATAGCTAAAAAACCAAACAAACACGCTCCCCAAGAAGATTTTATTCATGGAAGGAAAATGACACCCAGAATATCCCAATTTTGACTGAACTTCTTTCCTACTTAACCTCCCAGTGGTGAAACAAGGGGGAACCCCTGGCCTTGTCACGATTTACAGCCTCATCCATCAAAAGGCTCCAGGGTCTTTTAACAAATGAAAGGCACAAACATTAAGAAAACAGTAATACATCAGGGCCTGGAGCCAGGACTAACAGAACCAGCACTAAGGGAAAATGTTGGCAAGGCTATCGGGAAAAGACTGCCTGGCAGCAAGACGTATTAGTAAAACTTTCCCAGGGGAGTCATTAAATGAAGTATTAAAGTTCATGAATTACATGAAGGAAGAGTTAAAGTTCACATCAAGCAGAGCTCTGGAAGCAATATTCCAGTGGCAAGAGGACAGCTAGAAAAGCTGACAGCTTTTCCCCTGGTTCAGGCTCAGCTGTCAGTGGCACCACAGGCAAGAACTGCACGGGGGTTTTTTTGGAAGTCGAGTAGGTATCAGGCTGCCCAGGAGATGGCACTCATTTCCCTACAAAGCAACCTTCCTGCAAGGCTAAAACACACGGGAAAAGAACAGGACAGGGAGGAGACTTGCACAAAGATACTCGAACACAAGAGAAGAGGAGCAGAAGACTGCTAGCGCACTGTGGGAGCCTTCCTGCTCCAGGTACAAAGCTCTGGCTGTCACAGCCCAACTGTAACAAATGGAGACAGAACTGCAGTTTGCTCAGTCCATGGACTAAACACTCTGCCAATCTCACAGCCACACGGGATACTCTAACTGCTGTCAGTCATCAATAAAAATGGCTTTGAGCATTTGCAAGGGAGCAGAAAGATGAATACTGGAAACTTGGATTGAGTAATCAGTGAACCAGCAAACACCTCAACAGCAAGAAAATCTTATTGAAAATGGCTACTAGAGTCTACATAATCACAGGCTACATACCCACGCCATACATCGCTGCCCAGTTAAGCACAAAAGCCTGAACCGAAGCAAAAAGCAGACAAGGGTTGAAAGCATGACAACTGAGAGACGGGGAACTTGGCAATCCATTACCTTGCCATAAGTGACACAGGAGGCGGCTTGATCAAAAGCAAAAATCATGGCATGTGTTTTCAAGAAGTGTCCCTAAAATGGGGAAAGCCCGTGAGAAGTTCTGACTGATACCAACAAAAGACCTCCGAAGCGAGACTTTTTTTTCCCCTCTTGGAACAGAAACCTTTGTGAACTTTCAACCGCGACATGGAAGGAAGTCTCCATCCACATCTGCCTTACTGTGCTGTAGAATAACAGAAGTTCCCTCGCGTTATTCTGAGGCAGCAGGTACGAGCGGCCATCCAAAGAAAGGATGCTATGCAAACAGACGTGCAGTGCAGCCCCCCCACAGGGAATCCTGTGTTTTCTTTTGTTTGAAAGGTCAACACTGAGATTTTTTGGACATTCACAACAGCATTTTAAAGCCCAAACTCACGCAGACAAGTAACGAGAGAAGACTTATGCTGCTATCCAACTGAATCAGTCTGAAAGGGCACTGTGCATCTTCTGTGAAACGCAGAAGGATAAACGATCCCACCAACATCCGTTTTCTTGTAGGTTCAACATCAGCCAGAATCCTCAAAGACAAAAAAATTCCCAGAGCACAACTCTAAAAATGTATCTGCAGGGCTACAGTGGGGTTTAAGATTGCTTCACTGAGCTATAACATCGGTGCTCTGCTGTAGGGAGG